ATAAAAACTAATACTACAGTTTTTTTTTTTTTTTTTTTTTTTTTTTTTAACAAATAGGATGGCTAAAAGGAAAAAGGTAACAAAACCAAAAAAACTGCTAGATTCCGAGACAAATGTATAAAACTAAAAACAGGAACATGTCTGCATTGGTCCCTGCCAGGAGTCCAACAGATTCTTAAAGCCACTTAGAGAGGTCAAGGTCGAGAGCTTCAAATCTTTTTGTAAGATATTCCAGGAAACAGGAGCGGAGTAGGAGAAGGCCCTTTTGCCTAGTTCAGTCCTCACTGAGGGAACACTGCAGGTAATAATGTCCTGAGAGCGCACTCCGTAGCTGCACTCACGCAGAGACATGTAGGAGGAGATGTATGAAGGCAGCAGACCAAGAAGTGATTTAAAGATGAAAATGTACCAGTGAGAGAGTCTGCGTGAAGTTAATGATGTCCAGTTAACCAATGAATACAGGGTGCAGTGGTGGGTACGATAATCACAGCCAGTTATGAATCTTAGTGCACCATGATAGACAGCATCCAACATCTGCAGGGTTCTTGTAGGAGCGTTCATGTAAATAATATCACCAAAATCAATTGAGGGAAGGAAAGTCACAGATACAAGGCGTTTTCTAGCATTCAGGGTTAGACAGGATCTGTTTCTGAAAAAGAAACCCAGTTTAATTTTCAGTTTCTTTACCAAGTTTTCCACATGGAGCTTAAAAGAAAGATGTGAGTCGACCAAGATACCCAAATATTTATAGGAATCAACAAACTCAATGGGGACACCATTTGAGGATAAAATCGGAGGAAGAACTGCTGGGACCAACTTCCTATTTGAAAAAAGCATCCCTTTGGTTTTTTCGGCATTTAGGACAAGTTTGAGGCGAAACAAATCAGTCTGGATGTAGTTAAATGCAGATTTCAGAAGCTGGAAAGCCTTAGCAACAGTTTTAGCTCGACAATAAACAACTGTGTCATCAGCATAGAAATGTATGGATGCATTAGGGATGTTTTTACCTACATTATGTATGTAGATTGTAAAGAGGGTGGGTCCTAAGACTGAGCCTTGTGGTACACCATTGTTGACTGTTAAATAACTGGAGGAAGTACCATTATGTTGAACACATTGCCTCCGGTCTGAAAGATAGTTAGAGAACCAACCAATGGTGTGATCTGAGAAACCGATTTCTGAGAGTTTATGACACAAGATGTTATGATCCACAGTGTCAAAAGCTTTAGACAGGTCTAAGAAAAGTGCAGCACAATAATCCTTAGCATCCAGTGCTTCAACAACATCATTAAGAACCTTCAGTGAAGCAGTGGTTGTGCTGTGTTGTTTCCTGAAACCAGATTGATGTGGAGGTAAGATGTTAAATGAGTCCAGGTAATTTTTGATTTGAGAGTTTATTAGTTTTTCTAGAACCTTGGCTAAAATGCAGAGTTTAGAGATTGGTCCATAGTTGTTCAGTGAGGTGGGGTCACCTCCCTTCAGCAAAGGAAGAACAAAGGCTGTTTTCCAAGTGTCTGGGATGGAGTTTTGTCTTATGGAGAGATTGAAGATGTGGGTCACAGGGACTGTGATGATATGAGCAGCCAGCCTTAAGAAATAAGGTGGAAGTTCATCTGGACCTGCAGATTTTTTAGGATCAAGATCTTTTAACAGTTTATTGACCTCACTGACTGAGAATGGAGAAAAAGAGAAGCTGTGATTAACTGAGGATTGACTTGTAGGAGGGATTTGATTTGTAGAAGTTTGGTTATTAAGTGAAGTGGCTGATTTTCCATTAGTTACTGTGTCAAATAAAGAACCAGAAGCAACAAAATGTTTGTTGAGACAGTTCAGGATCTCGTGCTTATTTGACACAGGAGCAGAGTTAACGAGAAGTTGTGATGGGAGGTCAGATGATTGGGGGGTGCCTGAGAGAGATTTAATTGTTTTCCAGAATCTGTTAGGGTCATTTAGATTTTTGGAAGTCTGAGATAAGAAATAGTTTCGTTTTGCTGCTTTGACAGCAGTTGTACATTTATTCCTCATCTGTCGAAAACTCAACCAATCAGTGTCTGAGTCAGATTTTCTCGCTGCGGCCCAAAGATGATCTCTCCTGTGCAGGAGGTCAGCTAGCTCTGGAGTAAACCAGGGGCTGTCTCGTCCCTTTATTCTGAACTGACGAAAAGGAGCATGTAAGTTCAGGAAATAAATGAAATTATTATGGAAATAGTTCCAAGCAGAGTTCACGTCATCAGTTAACAGAATACGATGCCAGTCAAAGTGAGACAGATCCCAGAGGAATGACTGAGGCTGAATTATCAACTTGTTATTTACAATTCACCAGCAAATGAGCCTGATCACAATCAATCATTTGCATAAAACATACAAATTAAGAGTTATAGTGTGGCCAGAGTATTTCCATATTTGGGCCCGAGCAGCGAAGCGCTGCGAAGGCCTATTGTAATCGCTCTGTTCAGGCCCGAGCTACAATATTTTTGGCAAATGAATCGGCCTTTTTGGTGCCTTAACATATCCAAAAACTCACCAAATTTGGCAGACGCATCAGGACTGCTGAAAAATTATGTATTTTAAGGGCGTGGCAGAAATTAAACCGAAACGGCTCGAGCGCCACCTGGAAATTTTCAAAATGCCCTCCTTACTAACCTTAGTTTGTCGTACAAGCGTGGGATTTGATACACTTGGCCATTTCCCCAAGATGCACCAAAAACCCTCTGGCACCAACGTTGTACGGTAAACAGGAAAGCGGCCATTTTGGAATGACATCCCAAATTTCACGCCTTTTTGAAGGTTTACAGCCTCCGCATTTGAACGATCTCGTCCTAGGGATTTCGCTCAATCGGTTTCAAACTTGGCCATTTGGTTCAAAAGGCATGGGTGACGAAAATTTATCTAAAGGTTCGTTTCGGAGCATGCTGAAGGGGCGTGGCCAGACCTCAAAGTTTGACATCTCGCCATGAAAAACAAAACGCTAATAGCTCCCCCACGAAAACTGTCTGAGACATCAAACCTTAAGTGATTGATCCACATCCAGTCCCCTGCAAGACTGAATTGTCAAATCATGACATCACTTAAGCCACGTCCCCTGACAACAGGAAGTGTAATGTTTTACGTTGAACGGTCCCTATCTGACCCCTGTTACCCAATCAGCATGATGGTGTGTCCAGTGACCGAAGACATGTTGGTGTAACTTGCTTTCCAACACTGACGGTTTTGGGTGGAGCATATGGCCGTCGCGACGTGGCAAATTAAGACAGAACGCCATCACCCCCATGTTTGGCTCTAAATTCCACAGATTTGAACCGAGGTGCACCAAAATCAGTATGATCGATCATTATCCTCCCCTTGATCAGGAATCCATAATAATTGGCCAATAGTCTCCACAGCGCCCCCTAGAATATTTAAAAACCTCAGCCCCAAGCCATTTTTGGACCAACATTTCTGAAACTCTGTGAACATCTGTATCTTGTCAGGAACTATGAAAAAGTCGCTTGGAGCCCTGGTCTAAAACCAACAGGAAGTAGCCCATTTTGGGTCAAAGGGTCATTTTGGGGCATTTCTTATTGCGAATTTTAACAAACTCCTCCTAGGGATTTTGAAGGATTGCCTTCAAACATGGTTAAAATGCCCTTAACACATTGGATAGTAAAAGTTATCAAAAGCTCGCGTTTTCGTATATGTTAAAGGGGCATGGCCAAGTCCAAAAGTTGCGCTTCACGCCGTAAATTTCCAAACGCTATAACTTTCACATTGAAAGACCGAAATGCACAAAACTTGGCACCAGTCATCCCTGTTGGATGCACAACGATTCTCTGTGGTCATATTTTGACGTAATCAAAGCCCCGCCCCCTCAGAACAGGAAGTCACTTTTTAGGCCCGAGCAGCAAAGCGCTGCGAAGGCCTATTGTAATGGCTCTGTTTAAGCTCGAGCTACAATTTTTTTCCGCCAAATGAATTGGTGTTTTGGGGGCCTTGACAAATTCCAAAAGTCACCAAATTTGGTGAACGCATCAGGACTGGTGAAAAATTACGTATTTTAAGGGCGTGGCAAAAATCGCAACAGAAACGGCTCAAGAACGCCACCTGGAAATTTTCAAAATACCCTCCACATTAACCTTAGTTTGTCGTAGAAATTTGGTACGCTTGTCCAATTCCCTAAGATGCACAGAAAACCCTCTGGCACCAACGTTATATGATAAATGGGAAGGTGGCCATTTTGGAATGTCGTCCTAAATTTCACACCTTTTTGGCGGTTTACAGCCTCTGCATTTGAACGCCTCCTCCTAGGGATTTCGCTCAAACTATTTCAAACTTGACCATTTTGGTCAAAAGGCATGGGGGACGAAAAGTTATCGAAATGGTACAAACCGGAGCATGCTGAAGAGGCGGGGCCAGACATCAAAGTTTGACATCTCGTCATGAAAAACGAAACGCTAATAGCTCCTACACGAAAACTGTTTGAGACATCAAACCTTCAGTAATTGATCCACATCCGGTCCCCTGCAAGACTGAATGGACAAATCATGACATCACTTAAGCCACGCCCCCTGACAAAAAGAAGTGTAACGTCTTTCATTTTATAGTGGACGGCACGCATGTAAAAAGACCCTGTTCGCAGAATCCATCAAATAAAAAACAGATTTTTATCAGATCAAAGACGTTAATAGACCAACATGTCTAGATTTAATTCCAAATTTGCAGTGGAGCAGCTGCTCTTCTGATTAAATTCAGTCTTTTTATTAATAAAATTATGTAAAAAAAAAGTATCAAAAATGATTCCTCTGCTCTTTATAGACCATCTGTTTCCACAATATGGCATTCAAAATGATTTAGTTTTAAAGATGGTAATAATCTTTAATATACAACAGTAGTTATGTTTCTGGTTGTAAACTGTATATTTAGCTGCATGTAGCAACATTCATTTCTTTTAAACCAACTGGCAGATGTATTATATGGTTCTACTTTGTTCCAGAGTGTGCGAGCTGTTACAGAGTGGAGCAGTGATGAATAAGAGTTATCAGCCTCACGAGGGTCACATCCCGTACCTGCTGCAGCTCTTCATAGATTACAACCTGTATGGCATGAACCTGATAAACCTGGGAGCTGTGAAGTTTCGCTGGAGCCCCAAAAAAGGTGAAAGTGGTCACAGAAACTCAACCTCTGAAATTGAGGGCTATTTACTTTTCTCTTTGAGTTTGTTTTTCTTTCTTTTAATTGAGACCTACTAATACGAATGAATATGAAAGTATCCACCTAATTCCTAGCCCCTATGGTGCCTTTTGTGAATTATGGGCGCAAATTCTGGCACAGACCAGAACCGGCATTTGTTTATGTGCTAACAGATGCTAGCTAATGTAGTTTCTCTGAGCATTGTGGATTTAATTTACACATGTAGGTACACCACCTGTCAGAGCTCACACAGGACAATATTCATACCACCTCCTACTGCACACGAGGAATGGGAAGACGACATCAAGAAGTTGCCACAGATTACATCTACTAGCATATTTAGCTACTTCATTGACTCGGTTCTTCCGACAGTGAAGTGATGATCAACCTGAAAAGCTCTGAGGTGTATTAGTATCTACACAGTAGTAAGGTCAGTCCTATCGTTAAGAGGTGGGATTCAATCTTATGGACCTTAAATCAGACACAGAGCCAAAGCCTTAAAGTCCTCCATCACGAGCTTGGGTTAATTACAGAGAAAATCATAAACTGGAGATGAACAAATACTATAATGCTGTTCCCTCCATACACCTGAAATCATCCATGATGTTCTCATCACACTCTTTTCAATCCAATCTAGCGTCTCCGGTGGTTTATTGTAGTCCAGACACAAAGTAGGATGCAGTTTTTCCTCCGTCCGTTCACAAGAACATTCTTTTTGTTTTGGTCCGTGTTCCAAACACTGTTGTTGTAGACACTGATTTAGTTTGGTCTGGTTGTTTGCAAACAGAACAACAGGTACCTGAACTCAGCACGGCTACTTTAATAAACTTAATGGTTGGTAAATAAATGTAACAAAACACAAACTGTTTTATTTGCTAAATTGAATTCAACTAAATTACAAATTACTTTCAAATAAACCACAGCAGTGTTTCCCCTACCATTATACAAGCAGGCGCCCCGCCCCGTCAACAGCTCCCTGTCTACCGCCCCCCCCCCCCCCACACACACACACACACACACACACAAATCACGGACAAGATGAGCGCCCCGCCATGGCAAGTTATCTAGGAGAAACACTGCACAGTCTGTGCTCTGCTACTGTGGTTAACCAATGTTTACTGCTACTTCCTGTCTGACAGGAAGTAGCACACATAATCATTTATACAGTAGAGCCCCGAGGAATAAGTTGGATAGGAAGCAAAGGAGTGCATTGCAAATCATCTACTTTATTAAATTTACTCTCAAAGGCTGTGTAATCAGTCAGTTTAAATTCAGACAGACATCCAAAGAGGGATGGCTGCCATCTTACTGAATCAGACCCGGTTCTCCCCAAAATGCAATCCAGTAATCGACGTCCTGTAGCTCACATATTTTCATGACTCCAATGCGAAGGCAGACAATAATTCTCAATGTAATGTTTTTAGTGCTTAGTGTATTTTAGTTTGTTTTTCTTAGTTCATATCTTAAATGTTATCATTGTTTTTCTTATACATTTTATTGTTGGATGTAACTGGGACCCTGTGAACATAATTTTGTTCCACCACATGTACCACATGAGGTGGAACGACAATAAAGAATCTGTGACTCTGACAGCGTCACGAGAACTCAATTTCAAGAGAACTGTTTTAAACAAACAAAATACACTGATATAATGATTTGATTATAAAGTTTGCCTGTTTGTGCATGTTTCAATTTCAAAGTTTCTTTGTCATTCGCAGCACATGTGGTACATGTGGTGGAACGAAATTGTGTAGTCAGGGTCCCAGTTACAGCCAACAAAGAATACGCTAAGCACTAGTAGTACAAAAACATTACGCTGAACAACAGCAGCACGAACATGAGTCTTTGAGCAGATGAGTACGAAATGTCATGTACAGTAGTCCCTCGTTTGAATAAGTGAAAACTGCCAAGTAGGAATAATAGTACAAGTAGTAATTGGTGTATTTTAGTATTTACAGTGAGGAAAATAAGTATTTGAACACCCTGCAACTTTGCAAGTTCTCCCACTTAGAAATCATGGAGGGGTCTGAAATTTTCATCTTAGGTGCATGTCCACTGTGAGAGACATAATCTAACAAAAAAAAAAAGGAAATCACATTGTATGATTAAAAAAAAAACCTATTTATTTGTGTTACTGCTGTGTCATGAAGCTGCACTGCTCAAACTATGACCCCTGACCCTTATTCTTCTTCCAGACTCGCCATGAATCGTGTTTTTCAAAAACACATGTGACTTCAATGATGTCTGATGTTTGTCCACACGTCCTGTCCTTGGACACAGACTCAGCTACAGTCTGACTGATGTTCATCTTATTTCTTCCTGTTTCTAAGAAAGAAAACAAATCATTAATGAAGTTTGTTTTATTTGATGAACAAGTGTGAGCATGAATAATCTTGATTGTTGTTTTCAATCATCATAATGAAATCATGTCAGATATTACAATGTGAACAACACATTTCTCTGTTGTTCAGAAAGTGTTTGTTCCTTCAGAGACACCTGTGGAAAGTTCTTTGAGCTGGAAGCTGTTTTCTTCAGAGGGAGCCACAATGTTCCCATGTCAGTCAGACAATCTTCTCAGAGCTCATGTTTTGCACAAAGTCTCTTTGTGTGAAACAACAGTTCGCCTTGGACCCTCGAACTGAGCAGTTCGTCTCGGGCCCCGAACCGGAAGACGGTTTGTCTGTGGACCTGATCCTCGTGGTCGTGCTTAGGTCCACTCGTTCAACTCCTGAGCAGATGAACATGTCACTCAAATTACAGTTGTTAGAGGTTTAAATAAGCACAGAAGATGAAGCCTTTTCTCACTGCAAGACTCACGCTCTCAGCTGAAGGTGCTGATGGACGGTGCACCTTCTCATCAGCTGTTCCCTCACAGACCCTGAAGCTGTCACAGTGAAGGTCAGATACCTTGGGCAGTTCCTGGTGAGTCCTCCTCATGGTGTCTCTGGTCTGATCCACCAGAGAACCCCAGAAAGACGAGTGGTGCCATCAACACTGACCCGGTAAGGAGCAGAACCTGGTGACATGATGCAACTCTTGGTCTGGTTATGCTATTTGAAGCTGATGCAACTTGATAAATCATTTCCTGCTTGCAGTGATGATAAATGACTTTATCTGATCACATTAAATAAATTATTTCAAACAAAATCCAAAGTAAAATATTTATTAAAATAATCAAACTTTGTCTAAATTCATGCGCGTATAAAACTGAAATAATTCCTGCTCAAAGAGTCAATTTAGTCTCAGATAAGAAAATTAAGCCTTAAATGATTCATTATTATTGTTTGTTTATTATTGGTGTTGATTTTTAGTTTGATTATTTTTGTAATAAAACTTAAAAAAACAACTTTGTTCTCTTCATTCAGATGAATATTCATGAGTTCTGGTGTAGAACTCCCTGTAATGAACAGATTCTACTTCAGTGACTGATTCTGATGATTAAAGGGTGAAAATATTAATGAAGTTGTTGTTGGTCAGTAAACTGATCAACTCGTGCTCCACTTTAACCAGAGTTAATAAAATAAAATAAATGTAGAGGAGGGGGGTGGAGGAAGTGTCACCTTCTTCCTCCATCTCGCATCCTTCATATTGCAACACTGCTGCAAATAAGTATTTGAACACATGTGAAAATCAATGTTAATATTTGGTACAGTATCTTTGTTTGCAGTTACAGAGGTCAAAGGTTTCCTGTAGTTTGTCACCAGATTCACTGCAGCAGGACTATGGCCCATTCCTCCACACACATCTTCTCTAGATCAGCCAGGTTTATGGGCTGTCACTGAGAAACACGGAGTTTGAGCTCCCTCCAAATATTTTCTATAGGGTTTAGGTCTGGAGACTGGCTGGTCCACTCCAGAACCTTGATCTGCTTCTTACGGAGCCACTCCTTGGTTCTCCTGGCTGTGTGCTTTGGGTCATTGTCTAGTTGGAAGAACCAGCCACGATCCATCTTCAATGCTCTCACTGAGGGAAGGAGGTTGTTCCACAAAATCTCTCACTACATGGCCCCGGTCATCCTCTCCTTAATACAGTGCAGTCGTCCTGTCTCTTGTGCAGAAAAACACCCCCAAAGCATGATGCTTCCACCCCCATGCTTCACAGTAGGGATGGTGTTTTTGGGATGGTACTCATCATTCTTCGTCCTTCAAACACGGCGAGTGGAATTAAGACCAAAAAGTTCTATTTTGGTCTCATGTGACCACAGAACTTTCTCCCATGACTCCTCTGGATCATCCAAATGGTCATGGTCAAACTTCAGACGGGCCTGGACGTGTGCTGATTTAAGCAGGGGAACCTTCAGGCCCATGCATGATTTTAAACTATGACGTCTCAGTGTATTACCCACAGTAACCATGGAAACAGTGGTGCCAGCTCTCTTCAGGTCATTGACCAGCTCCTCCCGTGTAGTTCTGGGCTCATTCCTCACCTTTCTTAGGATCACTGATACTCCACGAGGTGAGATCTTGCATGGAGCCCCAGTCCGAGGGAGGTTGACAGTCGTGTTTAGCTTCTTCCATTTTCTAATAATTGATCCAACAGTTGATCTTTTTTCACCAAGCTGCTTGGCAATTGGCTCGTAGCGCTTTCCAGCCTTGTGGAGGTCTACAATTTTGTCTCTGGTGTCTTTGGACAGCTCTTTGGTCTTAGCCATGTTAGAAGTTGGACTCTTACTGATTGTGTGGGGTGGACAAGTGTCTTCATGCAGCTACCGACCTCAAACAGGTGCTTCTAATTTAGAATAATAAGTGGAGTGGAGGTGGACGTTATAGAGGAGGACTAACAGGTCTTTGAGGGCCAGAACTGTTGCTGATTGACAGGTGTTCAAATACTTATTTGCAGCAGTAACACACAAATAAATTATTAAAAAATCATACATTGTGATTTCCGAATTTTTCTTTTAGATTATGTCTCTCACAGTGGACATGCACCTAAGATGAAAATCTCAGACCCCTCCATGATTTCTA